GTTAAAGTTGTTATCTTGTTGAGTAGAAATTCTTTATTTAGTAGGATGGATAGTGACTATTTTGTCTTAAAACTTGACGGTGCTGGAGTCAATCATTCAAGTGGTTCTGTGTGACCATTACTTAAATATCACAGACCAGAACAGAACAACTTCCATATGTTTTTCTTAGCCTCCAGTAGTTTGCTAATTGATATTATTCCTTTAATTAACTTTATTCTGAGATAATTAGGGTGTGTTACTCCTGGAATTTTGGTTTTCTTTCAGATAAGTAATAAAAATGCTTTCATCAGTTTGTAATTGGAAATTGAAACAGTGTTTTCTATATCAGTATGGTGATTTCTCTTGTTAAAGGCTAAACGAGAATTTCGAATTCCTTTGTCTTATTCTTCAAGAAGAGGAACAAAATGGAACTAAATAATAAACTTTTTAGGATTGTTACTTGATGTTGCAACAGTATGTCATTTAGACTTAGTTAACTCCAAGATGTTGTGTTGCCTGAGCTACGAATTTTAATCATAAGACTTTCATTGTTTTTCTAGACATATTCAACGATAACCCCAATGGGATGCGAGTTTGTTTAAAATCCGCCATTGTTGAAATATTCAGCTTTTTTGGCGACTTTCACTGAAGCAGATTATCGCCGACTTCTTTTCTTTTTATTGTATTCACTTGAATTGACATAGACTCTATCGTTAGCATGATATTTGACATTTTTACCATATCGTTTATCCTTTATCGGTTGATGGAATTTATATAAATCAGCATGTCTATTTACTGCATATGGATCTGAGTACTAGGCTTTTAGGAATTCACTGACACATTTTGTATCCCCTCATCCACAGTATTATTCCAGTAAGAAATTTTTTTATCCTTCACGTTCCCCAGGAGAACATAGGGCTTCAAGCTAGTGGCTTGAAGTTTCTGTAGCAGTGTTTATTTTACAGGATGGGGTTGCTAGCCTCATGCCCAACCCTTTCTCTTCACCAGCATTATTTCTGGCTTAGCAAGGTAAAGGAGTGCGTCGGCCGGGGATCGAACCCCGGACCGCGTGCATAGTAGGCCAACGTTGTACCACTGAACCACCGACGCACCCAGTAAGAAATTGATACCTATATTTTTCAGTGTGAGCTGATATGAATGAGTTCTTATCATATCTTTCGATTCCTATTTTTGTCTTCATATTTGCGAAGATTAAGACAATGTATGCTCTTTTTTCAAAAATAGAGAATACATATAGATATGTTTAGTACATTGTGTGCTTTGATATTTATTCATTCACAGCTAGTCACCATGGTTGACGATGCTTCATTTAGAAATCTTTCGTCATGATTGAATACCATTTTCAAGTACAATAAATAATTGACATAGAGAAAGATATTTTCTCGTAGGAAAATATTGGTGGAGTCTACCACTAACTTTAGGAATTTGTTTTTGGTACTTTTAATTTAGAAGCTTATCACAAGTGAATATAAGGTACAAAGAAACCGTTTCATTACATTGTTGTTCTTACTAGTTTGACCACGGATTGATATCAGTTAGAGAACCATGGAAAACCAGGGGGTACTGGACAGCTACTGTTTCATCCTAGTTTGGGAATCATCGGCAGCACGCACCCACTGGGATTCGAACCCAGGACCTTCCGGTTGCAAGGCAAGCTCGTACACCAATCAGCCACTGGGACCCGACCTTGTTGTTTTTTTTTCAGTAATTCTTTGATATTTTAAACTTTACGGTGAAATAGCTTCATTAATGAAGCTTATGACAATACTTTTACTCGTATATTTTATAGTCTAGCTTTAATTTTCAGCGATATAATCAGTTTACTACGAAATTAGTGTAAGTATTTATTTTAATTAACTCCATTTTTTATGAAACTGAATTCACTAGATTGAATTAGAAACAGATGGCATTTCAAGAAGGAAAGAATAAGCGAATAAAAAATCATGCAATTCAAATCATAGAGGTGGGTGAGAATCATTAAAAGCCACTAAGGGGAAAATGAATAGAGATGCAATATTTAAGTTATAAATGTCCAAACCAAGTTCACTTTGAACAGTTTGAAAAAATTTTGGCATTGGGTATATGATATTTATTATAATAAAGGTTTTTGTATTTCGTAATGAATGAAAAACAAAACGATATTATTTTTACTGACATTTCGCTATTTAATGCAGCTAATAGCTTAATCAAAGTGTTATTAAACCGGAATTATTCCAAAGTCACTACGAGTTAAATCTCTTGAATATTCGCACAAATCCATACTTGCTGTAAAGCATACTTCCAAAGTATTTTTACGAGAAAGTATACATAACTGCAACGTCAAACTTGAATTTCATCGAACGAGAATCAAAAATATAGACGACTGTTTTACATTACTTGTTACAAGCCATATCTATGAATCCTTTCAAAAACTTTTTAATGAACGAGAATCTCATTTTCATAATGTCACTAAAAGAAGACAAATACAAAAATTCTTGAAACTTGAAGAAAAGAAACAGCCAAAGAAAACCTCAACAAATGATATGAAGAATATTAGAGCCATACATAACATGTCAGACAAGATACTAACCGAAAATGAAATCTCATTACTACAGAAAGGTCTGAATTTCAATATCACCGGAAAGTCATTATCGGTCCAGGAAATAGCACCTATGATAGAACCTACTCCACAACAATTCACCAATGAAGAATCACAATCTGTCCATCAAAAGATATCACATATATTAATGACACAATGAAACGTACCATCTAATCTCACCAAACAAGAATATGAAGCCTTAAGAAATTTGAAGAAAGACAAAAGTATCGTTATAAAGAAAGCCGACAAGGGAAACGTCACTGTGATAATGAACAGAACGGATTATGAAAAGAAGGCAACTGAACACCTATCTGAAGGATCATACTTACTTATTGAAGAGAAAAAGAAATCCGCCGAATTCAACAAAATGAAACTTAATACAAACAGACTCCTTCAAGAAATGAAACCCAAAATTGGAAATCCTCTCTGGTTTAAAACCAAAATCTTATGTACCTTCAAGATTCTACGGTCAACCAAAGATACATAAACCCGCAGTTCCATTGAGACCAGTAATAGATTTCACCAACTCACGGACATGCAACCTATCTAAATACTTACTCTCGGTACCACAACCACTACAAAAGGACACTCAAAATATTGTAAGAAATTTATATGATTTCAAATCCCAAATAGAAAACCGAGAATTTGAAAAAGAAGACATAATGGTAAGCTATGTTATCAACTCATTACATACTAGTATCCCTATTACCGAAAGTCTTGATGTCATCTCCAGTCTACTAGAATCAGATACAACGCCATCACAAAGATGTCGGCTGGCCCCCAGTGAAATAATTAAGAGCTTGAAATTCTCTCTAGAGAGCAATTATTTTACATTTAAAGGGAGTTTATATAGACAGACAAATGGTGTTGCTGTGGATTCACCAGTCTCCCCAATAGTCGCCGACCTTTCCATGAAGAGACTCGAAAATGACATCATTTCAAGCATACTAACTCCTAAAATATGGTTAAGATATGTAGATGATACTTTTGTAGTACTAAAACGAGATCTACACAATTCATTCCTGGAGAAAATAAACTGTGTATCTCTCAGAATTCAGTTTACTTCGGAAGCAGAAGCAGACGTCGGTGAACTACCATTTCTAGACTGCCTAGTTAAGAGAAGGGAAAACGGACATTTTAGTATATCCATATTCAGGAAGAAAACCCATTCCAATCGATTTTTAGATTTCGGATCATCACACCCCATCAGCGCAAAGGTATCAGTTGTTTCAAGTCTTCTTAGACGACAACACTCTCTGATAACGGATGAGAAAGAAAAAGAAGAAGAAATATCAGACATTACTGAAACCCTCAAGCAAAACAACTACCCAAGGAACTTTATCAACAAAATCAACACAGACATTAAGTATGGCCGAAAACGTATTCCGAAAACATGGACCTCAACAATCGTCATTCCATATAGAGCAGAGACGTCAGATGAGTACTCATTCAGCTCGATATTAGAGTTTTCTTCAAAACATCAGACACACTGAGAAACACACACACTGGTCCACATAAAAGACCAGATCCCTAAAGATTCTCTGTCTAATTGTGTCTATAAAATAAAATGCATGCTTGGAATTAGATGCGATATACATCGGACAAATATCTCGAGAAATCAATGTGATCAGAAGAAATGAACACCGTAGAGCCGACTCTGTTCGACCACTGAGAAATCCGGTTGAACTAGAAAAGCTTGAAAAATCATCAAACATAGGTCTACACGCTATAGAATCAGACCACAAAATTGATTTTGATAATATTGAAATAATCATCCAGGAAAGCATTTCAGAAATCGCAAAGAACGTCTAATATCAGAAGCCAGCACTTCATATCAAGTGGAATCCAAATTGTCTGAGCTGAATAGGAATGATGGACTAAAAGAGAATCTGACCTGGTTACAACAATCCTCTCCCCCTCCCCCATGAAGTGACAAAATCAACACGAATGTGATAAGCAATATCATTATCTAGACACACGCTGTTTTATAATTTTACACACTGATCAAATCCAACAGTCGACACTTGGTTTTGTTATCTTTACCAATTGGCCAATTTGACAAGGAAAAATGACCCCATACTGACGAAAGATGATCAAGTTGGTAAACTTTGTTTTGATACCAGGCAGTGCAGATGTACTATTACGTTTGTTATTTGGTTAAGTGATCTTCATTGTTATTTTGACTTTCAATATGTCCTTTTAACTTGACCTAGGTCTATTTTTTTCACTTCTTAACTCTTTGTTTTATATATGCTGAAATTTTGTAAATTCTGGTTGAATAAAACTTTGATAAAGGTATTAGTATTATATAGCGAAACGTCAGTGAAGACAACATCGTTTTGTTTTTCATTCATTGGGAAATACAAAAACCTTTATTATAATGCAATATTTAAGATCAAGCTATTGAAATAAATTATTCAGAATGTGTACTGAATCAGAGGTAACATGATTACCAAAAGTATCCATTTTCGGCAACTCTGTGAAGAATACAATTTATTATTATTTTATTCCTTTACGTTCCCAGTGGAACACCGGGCTTCAAGCTAGACCTATGAAGTCCCGGCAGCAGTGGTGTTTATTTTTACGGGATGCAGTTCCCTCTTTACCAGTCTTATTATTGGCTTAGCGATGTAAAGGAGTGCGTCTGCCGGCGATCAAACCCCGAACCACATGACCGCGTGGTTGGCGAGCATTCTACCGCTGTGCCACCGACGCCAGAAGTTATTTATGGATAAATAACGCTACTAGCTTATGATGATTAATGTTAGGAATATAAGAGAAATGCTTGGGATATATTTAGAAGTCTTTTACACTTACATCTTTATCTTTATTTATAATTTCTGTATACAGTATTGTACCAAAAAAACTACTTCTATTTCTTTCTTTTTGTATCATTTCTCTAAAGATTGGATGGGCAGCAATACAAATTCCTCATTTATCAATCATAAATGATTTAACTGATAGTCATGATGAACGAGTACTATTGGCTTCGTTAAGATATTTCTTCAGTGGTATCGGTGATATGTTCATTTTACTTGTAACTTATTACTTCTTTATGTCGGAGAAAACCAGTTCTCTTCATCGGAAATCACTTCCTAATAATAATAATGATCCTAATCAAACGCCTATATCAGGAGCAATGTCAAGTGAAGTTGGAAAGAACGTAAATTTAATGAATCAAACACTAGACAATCATAATCAGTCAGTATCAAATGCATACTACCAGATAACAATTGAAGATTTGCCTGTATTCAGGAGTGTTGCATTAATTGTCGCTGGAATCGGTGCATTATTTATAATTATCTTCCATTGTGGTGTTCGTGAAGGTCAACCAAAACCTTGTCAAAGTATTAAAACACACTCTTGCATAGGTGAGTAAAATAAGCACTACATGGTAAATATTTTCAACAGTGAACATCGCTTTCCTGATAGTTCACTAACTCTTATTGCTTCATATATTCAGGAAAAGATTTTTATGTTCACCTGCTTGTGTAGGAGGTTCCACTGTGACAGCTGGAGTGGAGTTGAAAATTCTACCAGCAGAATACGCTGCTTACAGAGTAATAAAACTAACTGCTTCATAGTGGCTACTGCTTTTTTGTTAAAGACTCCTCAGCTTGAGCATTTAAAAGGAATAATTATTTTGGATGTATCTGTTTTTCAATAGAACCACATGTTTACCTATGACTTTAGTATTGAGATTAAAGAGTTAATTGAACACAGGTATTCGAATATATTTGAATAGCCTAGCAGCCTGTCTTATACCATCAGCCTGCTTTTCTGTTTAACCTATTTTTCTTCTGTAATCATGACAGTAACATTGATACCTGGCAGTCAACTGCCTTTGATTTCTACAACGGATTTAAACTCCCATCTTTACCGTTGCATTTATTTCATAGTTTGTATTTTGCGTACTTTTGAAGCTAAGCCGAAACAGGTATTTCTTTCAAAAACTTAAAAGTGTTCCCAGAGTAAAGAGCTACTTAAGAGTTATATCCTTGTTTATATATAGAAAAGAAGCTTACGATTAATTTAGCATCAAAACTACAGTATACTGAAACTGGGAAAGTCCACTTTCCACCATAACTTTAAACTGTTTATGGGGTCATATTTTTATCAGCTCAAAGTCATACTGAAATATATCAGAATTACTTGATTCATTTGCTTATGATCATATGCCTATGATATGCCTATTTCGAATGCAAAGTCATTAAAAGCAAGAAAGCATACTCTTCTGTTCATAATTTTAGTACCAGCACTCGAATCATTCATTGTAATTCCTTTATGTTCCCAGCAGAACATAGGGCTGCAAGCTAGAGGCTTGAAGTTTCGGTAGCAGTGGTGTTTATTTTTACGGGACACGGTTGCTAGCCTCATGTCCAACCTTCCCTTCTTGCCGACCCTACTACCGGCTTAGCGAGATTCGGGAGTGCATCGGTCGGGGATCGAACCTCGGAACAAATGACCGTGTGGTTGGAGAGCATTCTACCGCTGTGCCACCGACGCACGGATCAATCACTAGGATACTTTTAGTAAAAGCATCTTCTTTCTATAATACTGTTCAGTAATCAGAGCTTTATAAGTTAGTTTATCTCAAACCTAGTCAGTCGTATCTGTGGCATACATTTTGATGATACAACTTGGTAGCTGTAGTTTCTGTTAACGAAACACTGTTTAAATCGATGATTACCTGGTCGGAAGTCCTAAAGCTTAGACAGATGAGTGGTAAAGCTTTGAGTACTATCAAACTTTGATTTGAGTGTGCTTAAAACACCATTATCTGAAAAAATATTTGTCAGTGTGTGCTAGTGAAACAAACTAAATAACCTGGAACTTGATATGTACAAAGTTTCATACTTAAGTTAATGCTCAGTAAAAGCATTTGTGCTTTATTCACATTTTTAATTGTACCAATATAATTCTTATATTTACATTCTCTTCAACTTTTTGTTATGAGTATAAACAGACCATACATTATATGAACTTATTATGATCTGTATAAATAAATTTCTGCTACATGGTACAGGATGGATGCCACCAATTACTGTAAAACCGTGGACTAAAGTTTCATGCTCATTGTGACACATATTGGTGTCTAGTTCTGAATGCCGGCAGAATCAAGTTAACAGAGTTTTCACAAACTTAAGATAGCCATCGTTGTGGTTGACCTTGGTATGATATCTAATTTTATTATTCAGTTTTCAAAGACAATCTTCCAGTCTGACTATCTTTATAACCTTTTTAAATCGACTTTCTGGAGTGTCAAACTTCTTCACCGCTTTCAATTTGGAAATAACACTGGTGGTAACTACAACAATCGATTATTACGTTTCTCTTTTGAAATCGGTTAAGGGGTTGAATTATTCAATCACTGACTCTTCAATATATATATATGTATATATACATATATTTATATATATATATATACATATATATATATACATACATCGGTTTCTATAATCCTATTGACATGATTTTACCACTTAAGACCTCTAAACTTTTGTGAATCACTTAAATGAAGTTGAATATATGTGAAATGTCAGTGATTTTTTATTATGTGGCTCTACTGTCTTCTCTATAAGAATTGACTAATTGTTTTAATGAAGGCTGAAACTTCTAGACAGTTGATGAATACTGGGGTTTTCTAATGTTATTTTCTCACGCAAGAATTTCTGCTACATAATGCTTAAAATATGAATATTTAGCTGCTGTGTTTATAGTTTTCTTTGCTGTTATTATAACTTCGATTCTAGACACACATACTTGGCAAGTCTTGTGATGTTTGTAGGAGAATCACTCAATCTCATTGTTTATTATAACTGTTTGGGACATCCATTATAATGAATGTTTTTGTATTTCCCAATGAATGAAAAACAAAACGTCAGTAAAAAACAATATCGTTTTGTTTTTCATTCATTGGGAAATACAAAAACCTTTATTATAATGAATATCATATACCCAATGCCCAAATTTTTTCACACTGTTAAAAGTTTGGGACATCTTTGAGGATATATAAAAGTGCAAGGGATTACACTTGATTGTTATGTGGTGCTTTCTGTTAATACTTTGATCCAACCAGGCAAACAATTACATTCAAGCTATAAATGCTTCCAGTTAGTACTGTGGTAAGAGCTGTCTACTAGCCAAATTGGTAGACAGTAATTGATGTCAATGTTTACGTTCTCAAGATTGGTCGTGAGAAAATATAAACAGGACTGATTCAAAAACCGACTACAGCAGACTTTGCGTAGGCGGATACAGTTAACATATAGATGATCTGACGTTCAGGAAACAGTCATGAAGAGATGATAGATTAACTTTAAGTGAGAAACAACCAATCAGAAGACTGTGTTTGTTTGATTAACTAATCTATAATAATGTACATGAAAATATATAAATATGCTTTGATTTCCTTAATAAACGATCTGTTGCCTGGCCCTTGTCTTCTGTTGTTACAGTACTCCATATGTCATGTTCATACAAGTGAAAAACACCTACAGATATCTGCTTGTTCAAGGTTGTGTGAAAATGTGTATATTCAAAAATATTCAAGTGGCTTCAGATGGAAAGAGTGGGGGGGAAAGGAAAACTGCAACTACTTGAATATAAATGAGATACTCATTAGCTACTGGCCCTATTCAGATAGGTGGTTAACTGGGGTTCTAGTATGAAGCCATGACCAGTAATGTACAGCAAGTCGAGCGTGAGGACAAATACTCGGTGAATACATTGGCTAGTAGTCGCGGCATTTCGTGAATTAGCAGAAGTTGGAATTAATGGACTGGCCATTGGATCGGGTCCCAGTGGCTTAATGGTCCACGAACTCGCTTTGTAACCGGAAGGTCCTGGGCTCGAAACCCAGGGGATGAGTACTGATGAAGAGTCCCAAACTAGGACGAGGCAGCTGTCCAGTACTCCGTGGTTGGTTATCTTATGGTTCTCTAACCGATGTCAGCTCATCATGAAATCCTGTAATCAATCAGTCAAATCCCTACAAACCAATACTTCAATATGAGAAATCTAAATGTTTTCCTTTAATCTTTATGAAAGCCTTATGATTTGTCCTTATGCTTACTTTAAACAAATTAATGTTATAAGTCTAAAATCATTTTTAATGTGTTATATTTTCTTTCTTTTTGAATTAAGATGTACTCAATGAAGATTTTGAAAGGAATACAATCAGCAACAATGATTTAAAAAATGATACTAATGATGATACTAGTAACACCAAAATACTCAATGTAGAATCAAAGAGAAGAAGAACTTATAGTCTTTCATCAACTTTACCCTGGTATGCATGGTTTACACTACCAAGATTTTGGTTGAGCTGTTCTACATTCAGTATAATGCGTCTTAGTGTAACAGTTTCCGTGGTAAGTATAACCTGTTTACAAATAAACATTTTGAATTAATGACAGTAAAAAAACACTGGGGTACTTTAAACACTTCTGCAAGCGAAAAGCAACAAGTTGGCAGAAGAAGCATCAAAGATAGGACTTCAGGTGAGCATAGAGAAAACAGAGGTGATGAAGATTCCTGGGCAACACCACCACCAGCAACAACAACAACAGACAACGATCAGCATAAATGGGAGGAACCTGAAAGAAACAACCTCTTTTACCTACCTTGGAAGCATCGTTTCAAATACAGGCGGAACTGACGAGGATATCAAAGCAAGAATCGGGAAAGCAAGGTAAGCTTTCATTACTCTCAAGTCTGTGTGGAGGTCAACAGCCCTCAGCATCAAAAATAAGATCCGGATTTTCAACTCCAATGTGAAGTCAGTGCTACTATACGGATCAGAGACTTGCACTGCGCGTCATAAAGAGCATCTCAAACAAACTACAGACCTTCATTAACAGTTGTCTTCGCTCAATACTCAAGAACAGATGGCCAGAAAAGATCAGCAACAGAGATCTCTGGGAGTGAACTAACCCAGCAGGAACCGATTGTGCAACAAATAGGCAGGAAGAAATGGAGATGGATTGGCCATACTCTGAGGAAACCATCAAGTGACATCACTAGACAAGCCATTGCTCGAGTGGAACCCGAAAGGGAAGCGGCGAGTTGGTCGTCAGTGCAAGGGTGACTTGGAGGAGGTCATGTGAAGAGGGGATGAAAGCATGTCGGCAGACTTGGAGCCAGGTGAAAACGTTAGCAGAGAACCGAAGGCAATGGAGACGCACGGCTGAAGCCCTATGTTCCTCTAGGAATTAAAGGAAACAATAATAATAAACACTTCTTTTCTAAACATTCACATGTACTACTTTTATGAATGATTTCACCTATAAGGAAGGACTTAAAAATTGTTTTTTTGAAACAAGTTTCAATTAAAGTCAGCTTTTAGATAAATATTTCAATGCTTTATTTTTGTACAACGAAAACAAAATTAGAAAATAATAATGTAATAAATGTATCCAAAATAAATGACAACCTTAAATTGAAAAACTGAACACTAACCAATTAAAATATATAGAATTTAAATCGTATAATTCATACTATATGACCATCCGATGCCTAATGATCAATAATTATAAGGCCATTCCGTAAGGTCTCGATTAAAGTTCACATAGAAGTATGTAACATTTTTTTTGAATAATTTTCATTATGATATCAGAAAATGTTTATATACAATATAACGTAAAACACTGATGAATTGAAACAGCTGCAAATTTATGGATCGTTAAGTTAATTATACTATGTTCAATATTTAGCTTGTCTTATTTTAATCCACCTTGGGGTGGACTGGATTATTCGTTAAACTGTGCTTTGGGAACGAGTAGACAGGAATACGCTGAACCACCGATAAGACGACTCTAGAAGATCTGGATTTCGCTAGTAGATGATTTATGTTTAATGTCACACAAACTTTAAAACTTCGGGGCAGAAGAAAACCAACAAACTAACTGAGGAGGCAGGTGACAAAGACAGAACTCCAGGTGAACATAGAGCAACAACAACCATCAAAAGGAAAGGATATGACAGAGGTCCCAGTGGCTGAATGATATACGAGCTTGCCTTGTAACCGGAAGGTCCTGGGTTCGAACCCCCTACGGTGGGTGCGTACTGCCAATGAATCTCAAACTAGGACGAAATAGCTGTTTGGAAGTACTTCCTGGTTTCCAGTAGTTCTCTAACTGATATTGATCCTTGGTCAAACTCGAAAAACAAATCTAATCCTTACAAACCAATTCTTGAAAATTAATCTGATACTCGCTAGTGACTTGCTACGGGACGGATTTTCCTGGAGTTCTAGTGAGAACTTGTGATCAGTGAGGTCCATCCAGTAGGGTGTGAGGATGGATTTTCCGCCGATGACATTGGTTGGTGGTCACGCTAAAATCACGAATTCCATTATTATCTTGTCTTATTCATATCTCTCTTTTCCTATTTAATATAAAGTCCGAGAAAATATATTTTAACATACTCTTATATATCAGTTTTACTCCGTATGCGAATGTGTACTTAATGTGTATTTCTGAAGTAAACATTTTCTTTGTGCATGCTTCCTTATATGCACACGTCATCAAAAATAAATAGTAAAACTTACTTATTTTTATCTCTCTATGTTTTTTTCCACACAAAAATTAACTTTATAGCTTTACCTGAGTCCATTTTTATTACATACAATGAAAATGGATAAGAGTTTAATGGTTTCCGTCCCAATGGTTTCTACAATTTTTTGCTTAATTACATCAGCTGGTGTACAAAGAATTACAAAATTGCTGGGAAATTATGTAAGCAAGTTTTCTGTCGTTTTCTTTTTTTCATACTTGTTAGGTTATCATAAGAAATAACTGTATTTTCGATTTTTGAATGAATTGTATGATACAAAGAACCTTTTAACTAGTCTTCTTGTTCGACGAACACTGTTTTTTGTCCACTTATATATTTGACTTTCCTTTGTTGGTTGTTTTGTGTGTGTGTGTTGCATCTACGTAACGAGTTCCCAAACAGATGAAAAATATGCTTCAAAAATTTCACCAATGTTCACTATCCATCTAATAACATTAAATTTCTTACACCAATTTTTTTTTCAACTAATGTGAACGAAGCAACAGCAATAGACAGATTAGGATAAGAGAAGACCATTTTATCTTGCCTGTATCTTGTCAACTGCTTACAACTTGAATAATCAGAGAAAATAGTTTTACTACAGTTTTAACATACTTTAGTGCATTAGACAAGCAAATGTTAATTTTGACAAGTAAAATAGACTGTAATATAAGTGAAGTTCCTCGTAAGAAGGCACTGGTACCAACCAGATATTGAGGATTGTAAATCATATGACGAAGTTAAAATGCGAAGAAACCAAAACTTACATTTTTATGAAGGATAGTGTTATCAACTAAGCTTCAACAACCAAGTTATCGAGATAGATTGGGACTTAATACACTTTCGTTTTGAAATCATAATTAAGATTTGAACTGTTTTATAGTGATGGCGTCTGTAAACTTCAAGAGACTCGGACTTGTTTGCTTTTTATTATTTTACAGGAATTCACGATGTTTACCTTATGTCCTGTACTGGTTACATGTTGGCTAAGTGTAGTGACTAAAGATTTACTTCCTCTAAATCGTAAACTTTTCAGCATGTTAAGAAAATCTAGAATGAACATTCAGATAACTGATAAACTAAAAAGAGACATCCTTTTAAGTAAAGTGAACATCGATAAGTTAGAAGTATTAAGAAATATTGTAAATTAGGTGTGATTTTTATTTCTCAAACTATTTACCTAATTTCTTGAATTCTAATACATTTGTGCTTACAACAAAACATATAAGCGAACAATATTATTTTTAGTTAGATCTTGCATTGATTTACTTATAAAAATTTTAACCAGTGACGGTGAATTTGTGGATCAAATAATAATAATAATGTATTGAATGTTTTGAACGTCAGTAATAAGGATGATTATGATAATAACAAAATAGGGATAATAAGGTTTATGCAGGTGGCGATAAGAATAACGAAGGTAGTAATATATGTGTATATGTAGACAATTCAATAAATAAATTAGGTCAAATCTTAAAAGTTACGCAATACTAAAGGTGAAGTGGACAGATAATCAGAGTTTAAATAAATATCATAAAAGTACGAAGGAAATGGAAAATAAGAAAGGGTGGGAGGTTTTTAATTAAAATTTACCTAGGTCAAGAGAGAGACAAAGATAGAACAAACTTCTTTGTATGCAAAGACTAGGATTGTTCTCTCGAATAAATTCCTATAGCTTCGGCTATGTGTTTAACAGGCGGGTTCGAATTCCGTTAGAAAGGACCGATGGAATGCGATAGATAACTTTGAAGGCACTACTTCTGTCTACTTGGTGACCACTATCAATCACATGAGTCGAAATAGGACTTCTTTAGATTTTATTTAGCCTTTTCCGAACCATGAAGGAGGCTGCTCATTAATGCGTCTGTTTAGCTTTCTAGTTGTTCGCCCTGTATAGCTCTCTCCACAGGAGCAACTAAATTTGTAGATACACACAGAAGTGGCACAGCTAGGTAGATTGCTTTACGCTTGAGCAATCATAATTGGTTGGCTGGAAAATGACAAACAAAGGGTGGTGGCAATATAAGTCCGTTTTATTGCTCTCGATAATTTTAGATGTAAGATTTACAAGCTGCGTCCCCATTAAATTGCAATTTTAGGAACAGTTGTTTTTTTTGACTGTTGTCAGTTTCTCTTTATTATCCCTAGTGTTCATATGTGTCCCTACAAACTGAGTAGGATAACCCGTTTGGACCAGTGTATTTTGGATGTATCCTAATTCATTTTCTAGGGAGTCATCTGTACAGATCCGTCTTGCTCTATTCGCAAGGCATCTGGCCAAATTGATTTTATATTGGATTGATACAAAACTGAGGAAATGTGTAAATTGTCCCACAGATGTAGGTTTTCTATAGACATCTCTCTTGAGTGAACCATCCTCTCTTCTGCTCAATTGGACATCAAGGAAGTGCAGTCTACAATGATATTCTTCTTCACAAGTGAACATGAGCGATGGATGTGCATCATTAAATTTTACTAACATTTCATTCTTGTCAGCTTTCTCATCAAGAATGATAAACGTATCATCAACATAAAGCAAATAAGAATCCGTTTTATCTATTACTAGTTTCAATAGACCATTTTCAATCTTAGCAAGAAAGAAGTCTGCCGAAATTGAACCCAATGGAGAACCCATGGTAATACCGTCAATTTGTCTGTAATCATGGTTGTTGAATGTAAAGTGTACATTCATAGTACATCTTAAAAGTAACTCTTTCAGACTAATATACATATATATATATATATATATAATATCATGATGTACTCTGCTGAAGACACGGACAACAATCTACTGAAACTAGAACAACCATAATCTACTGGGATTCTCTACGTGTGTTATTGTTTTTAGTTATTAACTGAGGTAGTTGATGGTGTTAGGTTTCAACGCTCAAATGATTATATGACGATTACGTTGAACTGTAGTAAATCAAGTCAGTAATTCTGTTGAATTGATCCATCTTAGTTTACATTTAGATTAGGAATTTATGGAGTTTAAGATCTTTTTTTTCAAATTTCTCAATGTACTAATATGGTGTATACTTTTTGCTCTACTTATTTTAATAAGTGTAATTATATGACGTTTCTTGTTCTAATTACAGGTAGGCCCAGTTTTTGGTGTTCCATTCATCTTGTGCTATTGTATTATAGCACACTTTTTGAAATCAGCCAAAGAAGATCTTGTAGGAATCTATTTTGCAGCAGCTATTCTAGGAATCGGTAATACTATAAATAATGTACGTGCTTTGGTTGTGATTACAACACTGATTGGTGTTAAACAAGTACAGACAGCAGCATTTGTTCATGGGATTGCATCATTTTTTGATAAAATATTAACCGGTCTATTTATCCAATGTATACAAATTTTTATACCTCAATTAACTTATAGACATGTACAAGTATATATTGTAGGAAGTTTGGTTGTAGTTGGTGGAATTCTAGCAACTATTGATAATCTTATGTATTCGGAATCTGTAAAAAGTTTACATCCATCATGTGTTTCATGCTTTTGTGGAAAAACACATTCACATTCATCACCCCAGTCTTCACTACAGTCAGCATCATCATCATCCTCACCTCGGTCTTCATCACCAACATCCCCTTCGTTCTCATCATCATTGGGACAGGAAAATGGCGAAAAAACTACTTGTAATATTCAAATTATTAATGAACCAGATGAAAGTGAGAAAGATAAAAGTGAACATAAAGATAAATAATTTTATACTACTTACATGCATATAATATCAGTAGTGTTTTTTGTATCCAATCAATGTATGATTTTGTTTTTTTGATATTCTGATTCTCTTCAGTCAACTGAGATATTTTACACACAAAAATCATAATGGTAATTTTCACAACGAATATTCACCTATTTACTCATCCATCTCTTCTTTCATACTCGACAACTCAGCATCCCTCTTTTCTATTCTCCTTTTGTTTCTACATATATCAAATGACTGATTCATTTACTGACTGTGTATTGAATTGTTAAATGAAGAATTTACTATATTTGCATTGTTTTTTTACGCTCCATTATCAGAAGAGATAATCTGTGTATAGAGAATATATTGTGAATAAAGAAATTGGAAGAAATTGTCTTATTCATTACGTTTTGTTTTCTGTTTCACTTCTCTAGGCTGAATTCTAGTGAAAGGAAGCGTAAATTTCACAGGATAAATTATATTGTCCAAAACAGAAACAGGCCCGAAGTTTGCAGTACATATGATGAGTAGTTCATATCTGATTGGAAACTAGTGTATAGTATTTAGTCCTTTGTTGGTGCAGACTGAATTCTGTCAGTCAAGTTTGCACTGTGTCCAATCAAGGTATCCACTGCAGTCCTACAGGAGGTCCATCTTTAGCTTATATAGCTCAGTGGTAACGTCACTGACTGCAGCACAGGGTGACGCGGGTTCGAATCTCAGAAGGGACATGAGTTCCTTCAGGTTTGCAGATACGCCTTGCTGACTGGTGAGTGACAATTAGCACGAAACCTAGGAGTCCCAGGCTTCCTGCAGGTTGTCTCCAACCGTGTAATATAGTTCATATCTGTCCGGAGTTTTATGTTCGCCACAGAAATAAACCAGAAGCGTAATAGCAACTTCAGTCTTTCGAGATAGACTTCGTAATGTGAAATTTCATATCTTTTCAACTGGAAAATCAAAATACTCTTAGGCACAGATCAGTGCTTTTGGTGTTGTTGTTTTCTTTGAGCTTTAGGGTTTGCTTTTCAATAAATATCAAGATCTTCACTTCCAACCTCAAAATGAAGTGGGATTCCGGAAACAACTATGGCTGTGATTTTCCCATCATTGTATTCACCTGTGTTCGTACTGGTCATTTTTTATCGTGTAACTTATTATTCAATATTTGATAAATTTGGTATATATAAACATGCCTGTTAATTCCAAATTCATCTGAGCATTCCTCTTTTCAAGATTTTTAAGTGAAATCGATATTTGAAGTTGTCCACATGCATTGATATGAGTGTATCTTGTGTCTTTCGACTCCTACTTTGTATTCTTGTATGTGGAGATCAAAGGACTGTCTATTTCAACCAATGCAGTATCTTTCACAGCTGATCAGTTTTGTCACCAGAAGAGATGACTGATAAACGCGTGGAGAAATCTAAAAGCTCACTTCAAACTGAAGTGTGCGCTGAAGATGTTGCCTAGTAGGGCAATGAAAGCTTCGCAAATAAACTATCCAGCTCAGAGAACACAACTACATCAAAAATATGATGTTATATTTGTAATCTTTTGTTATTGTGTCTTTACATTCAGATAATATTCAGTCAAGGGATAGTGTTAGTTTGTGGGCCACACCTATTTCAAAAGGTTTTAGTAGCCTTATAATGGCTTCAGAAATATTCTTCATATGTGTCATAGGATAATTTTGTATTGATCGATTATATTTAAGGTAGGCATCTTTGAATGGAACTTCTTGACCATTTATTTTCCTTGATGATCATCCTAAAGTGCTTCCGTCCCATTCTCCTCAAGACATGAATGTTGCAGTGTATCTGGATGTTTTCACACAGCTTCTTATGTGTGCTGTTGAATTTTTGCTTTTTTAATTGAACTATTGGTCTATGTGGGTTAACTTTCTTTCATATCGTCTTTATTCATCTGACTAAGACTTATAAACACAGAATTTTGTCCCTCTGATTGTTCATCTCTTGTAAATCTTATATCATCCAGAACGCTGTTAATTAAGTTGGAAGTGTTTTCTGGCTATGGAGAATGTATAATTCATGTAGTTCTCGGTTTCTACTATCGGTATAAATATGGTCTCTAGTCTTGTCATGAAGCCGTCAACAATTAGTCCTGATGTAGATAGTTTCATTGGTGTTTCTTCTATCTGTTCATATATTTTATTGTTGAAATTAAAGTAGGTTACAAGACATGAATTTATGAGCTCTATTCAATTTGACCATTGTATTTTTGTGTACTTATAGCACGATTCATCATATTCCAGTAGCTGTTTCATGATTCCCCTTGTCAGCTTTAAAGCATTTAGAATGTGTAATGAAGTAACGTACCAGAATTTCATTATTATCTTTGATTTTCTTAAGAAACTGAGAGAGAACCTCGGTAGGATTACGATAAGATTCTATCCGATATTTTAATTATCGCTGCCGAGAAATTCCGCTTTTGTGTTCTTAGAAGTAAGACAATTGGTTGTAAATGGAATGTGAAATTTCAGCCTATTGTAAAATCGAGTTAAAAAGGATACATTAGATTTCAAAGGGATCTCTGGGAGCGAACCAACCAGGAACCAATTGTGCAACAAATAAGCAGGAAGAAATGGAGGTGGATTGACCAAACTCTGAGGAAACCATCAAGTGACATCACTAGACAAGCCATTGCTCGAGTGGAACCCGAAAGGGAAGCGGTGAGTTGGTCGTCAGTGCGATGGTGACTTGGAGGAGGTGATGTGAAAAGGAAATGAAAGCATGTCTGCAGACTTGGAGCCGCGTGAAAACGTTAGCAGAGAACGGAACTCAATGGAGACGTGCGGCTGAATCCCTATGTTCCTCTAGGAATTAAAGGAAATAATAATATAATGATAATATTTCAAATGTCACTTTCCAGGGATTTGATTGGCTAAAGGATTTCATCATGAGCTGATATCAGTTAGAGAACCATTGGGAAACCGGGGAGTACTAAACAGCTCCTTCGTCCTAGTTTAGTTTCTTGTGAGAAGTCATGACCAGTGGAGTACAGAAGGTCGGGTGTGAGGACAAATACTCACCGATGACATTGGTTAGTGGTGGCACCATATCATGAATTGGCAAAAGTTGGAATTCATGGACGACTGGAACGAATCCTAGTGGTATGATGGTCTAGGACCTCAACTTGTAACCGGGAGGTCCTAGTTTCGAACCCTAGTGGTGGGTGCACACCGATGAGAAGTCCTAAACTGAAACGAAACAGCTATCCAGTACTCTCTCGTTGGCTTCCCAGTAGTTCTGTAACCGATGTCAGTTCATGATGAAATCCTGTAACATTAGATTTCATGCGCTACAATTCTTGTTATATGATATGTTCTGGAATGATTTATTTCCGAGGTTTTTTTCTACAGGCTGTCTACTTTTGGGATGAAGTTTTCTGTGAGCTGTTTCTGTACATTTTAACTCTGATGAACTTCCAGTGTTTCTCCGTATAGTTCACTTTTTCCGTGACAGTTGCTTCTAAGTCAGATGTTGGTAAAATAATATTATATCTACTGTTCATCCTTTTTGAGTTCTTTTCTCCTTTAGTTTCGTGTTAGGTAGTGTGTTTTACATTTTTGTCCGTGAGTATGATAATTTGGCGTATTTCTTGTTGAGCGTCTTCAGTTGACGACTGTAGAGGATTAAAAGAACTTATTTTCGAGGCGTTACTACTGGTTCATTCGCATTTAAGCCAATTACTTTTCCATTTTTTGGACAGTGTCTACTTTAATAAGCTTCTCACACAGTCACAAAGTGTTTTTACAGTCAATTTCCTTTGCAACTCAAAATGATGGAATACATCATGAAGTGTAGAGAAGTTTTCACACTGAACATCTCTGGTCAGATTGAGAATGAGTCAATGAATAATGGGAACTGCTTTGCTGTTTTCGTATTTCAAGTGAACTGTAGGGATATCAACACCTTTCACGATTTCACGTGAAACATTCAGTATTTAGTTTTGACTGGAAAACAATCTTTCGTGGAACTTCGGTAGTTCTTTTGATAACTGACAAAATGAATGTATCTCTTTCAGTAAATTACTTCTACTACAGAGGTAGTGACTACATGACAAGGTGCATTCTATTCAGTGATACATTTCATCCTATCACGTCAGTGAAGTGTTGAAAATTGAAGATAATCTAATACGCCTTGTATGTGACTTCTGTAAATATAGAAAAAATCCCCATTTAGACATTTAGAAGTCAGAAAGATTGAGCGAAGAAATATTTACTTTTCAGTTTAAATCCTCATCTCTGGCTCTACTCTAATATATATAGCATTTTTATTACAATACACAACAGTTTACCAAACAAGTGGCGATATGTTTGTTAACAATAATTAAACAGTGTCAAAATGTCAATGGGTTAATGATTAACGAAGAAAATCAATACACATTTAAGAGGTAGAAATGGATAGAATAAATTAATTTTACAAGGATAACACGTAATTAAAGATGAAGTGGTCAAAATAAATAAATAAAATATAAAATAAAATAATTTGGACAATTATAAGTTTTATAGTTTTTAAAGGTTTAGGGGGAGGGGGATGACGTAGTCCTGTTTATGCATTCTTGTAACGATGGACACGGTAGGGAAGGTGGCTGTACAAATTTCTTCTGAACACATAGGCTTGGCTTCTTCAGGTGGATTTCGATTGCTTCAGCTGTCTGTAGAAGACGAACTCGTAGAGCAAAATTAAGATTAGTCGAAATGCGATAAATAATTTTAAATGCAGCATTAACATCAACCTTATGCTCAGTATCAACAAGGTGTGCTAAAACAGAACTACGAACAGATCTTGTTTGTCCCTTGCTTAACCATGTTGGATGATGTTCGGAAATATGACGATGAACCTGCCTAATTGTACGCCCAGTGTAACTGGCTCCGCAGCTGCAGTCAAACTGGTAGATACACAGAGAAGAGGCAAATTTAGGTAGTTTATCCTTATTTCTCTAACATAGAATAGGGGCGTAGAAGACATTTGTAACAGATGTATGACTGGTGTGAAAACTATATCAGTTCAGTCAAATATAGAGATAAAAGACTGTGCATAACAGATGTTAAAGTAGTTACATATTATCATACGATGCTTTCTTTATCAAATGTCATTCTGACTTATCACATTTTAATTTACTACCTCTCTTCATTGCCTTTCAGAGGGATATGAATTATATACAGTTTAAAGATTTGTTGAATATTGTTAAAACCCTAAAGGAATTTGACAAGGAAGCAACTTTGAGGTGAATTCTTAAT